TTTCTGGGAGTCAAGGGTCCTTGACCATATTCTGAATGATAATCTGCATGATCAGAGAATATCTAGTATCTGCTCCTCTTCCTCTGTGTTCCATGACACATTTGGCTCTCTGACACAGCCTGTGGCGGTGAAGTGTGCCTGATCTATTAATTTAGTGCAGTAGACTGGCCCATTTCCACAAAGCATTTCTGGCAGATATTGCTACGAATGTAACATCACAGAATCTGAGACCTGAAAAAACCTCAGGTGTTATCTAAGGACCTGGGTAGAGGTCCCCTCTACAATGTTCCTGACAACTGGTTATCTAGCCTCTAGACTCTTTCAGAAGACCTCCAATGCCAGGAGAATGCCCTGTTCCCGAAGGCAGTTCATTCTTTGTTTGGACAGCTCCAATTATTAGAAAGTTTATCCTTGTATGAGGCCCAAATCTGCTTCTAGGGCCAAATAAAACAAATCGAATTCCTCTTCCATGTAATAGCCTTTCAAAAAATTAAAGCCAGCAAGCATGTTTCTTCCTACCATCGTCTTCTCTTTTCCAGCCTGAATATCCTTTACCTGTGCCTCATATGCCAGCTCCCTTCCTTTCCTTGACTTCTCTTTGGGATGCTCTTTATATTGTTACCGTCCCTCCTAAAGTGCAGCTTCCAAAAGTGGTTTGACAAGAACAAAGGGAAACAGGACTATTTATTGTCTTTATTTTTATACATGATTCTTCTGTCAATGTAGTCCAAGATTATATCACCTTTAATGGACTGGGGTGAGGCTGCCCACTGAGCTGGTGGTGAACTAAAACCATGGGTCTTTTCCAAACAAACTGTTGTCTAGTCACATCTTTATCTCATGCCCATGTAGTTATGAATTCAAATGCCAAATTTTATATTTTTCCATATTAAACTTCACATTTAGTAAGTTTAGTCCTTTGTTCCAACCTGATGGCATCATTTTCGACCCCATTTAAGCCATCCAAGGCATTCACCATTTACGTTGTCCATTACTCCATTTGAAAACTAGATTTGCTAGTGTTGAGCTGAGAAATAATCCCATTCTGAACATTCAAATCCTAATACCTATAGTTATCATTTATATAGTGTTTTAAGGTTTTCAAAGCACTTTATGTGTTATACCTTTTGATCCTAACAATAACTCTATAAGGTAAGTGCGATTATCTTCAGGTTAAGGTTAAATGATCTGTCCAGTGTCTTACAACTAGTAAATGTCTATGACAGGTCTCCCTTTCTCTAAGTTCAGTACTTATTTATCATATCACCTACCTGCCCCTCTCTTTGTCATGTATATATGTACATCTGTTGCTACAAAAATCAACTTCTTCATATTCCAGCATTTGCTAGTTAAGATCTGCCAGATTTAGATAAATTTAACCTCCAACCATATCCTCATTACGTACACTCACTTTTTTTTTTTTTGCTTTTTGGTGAGGCAATTGGAGTTAAGTTACTTGCCCAGTCACACAGCTAGTAAGTGTCATGTGTCTGAGGCCGGATTTGAACTCAGGTCCTCCTGACTCCAAAGCCAGACCTCTATCCACTGTGCCACCTAGCTGCCCCTCACTTCCCTTTTTTATGTGAGCAAAAGTTCTCGCATTCTGCCAATGCTGGCGTGGGAAATAGAAGACCTGGTTCTGATCTCAGTTCTGCCACTAAATCAGTGTGAACTTGGACAACTTGCTTCTCTTCTCTGATGATCATTTTCATCATCTGACAAATGATCAGGCTGGACTCTATCAGCTTCAAGGTCTTTTTATGTTCTAAAATACTGTGAAACTGAGGGAATTCGTGATCATAGATTTAGAGGTGGAAGGGATTGTAGGGGTCATTTAGTCTAACTCTCACAATTTACCGATGAGAATTGTGGTCCCTAAAGGCTAGTTGACTTATGTTTTCAGTAAATGACAAGAGGTAAATGAACCCAGGTCCTTTGACTGTGTATACATACATACATACATACATACATACATACAACATACGTATGTATGTATATACATACATACATACATACATACGTATGTATGTATATACATATATACATATATATACACATATATATACAGGTAGATATAGATAGATAGATAGATAGATAGATAGATAGATAGATAGATAGATAGATAGATAGATAGATATAGTGTTCTTCCAACTATCCCATGTTGTCATTCAGGAATATTTTCAAATTTTGCAGATCATAAGATAATTGATTTTGAAGTAGAAGGGACATTTTGTCTAACACCACCGCCCCCTCAATTAATTGACTTGTCCTAGATCACAGAAGCAGGATTTGAACCCAGTTTCTGTAACTCCAAATGTAGTGAGTGTTTATTCCACTGTATCATATATCTTTCAGGCATGTGTTTTCACTTTTTTGCAGATCCAACTTAAGTGAGCCAACTTAAGTCCTTCCTCACAGTAATTAAATTATAATGAGAGGAAAGAAGAAATGCTTCCATCATTAATGTCATCCATCAGATGTTGTATTTTTTTTTGAGGCAAGTGTTTTGGGTTAAGTGACTTGACCAGGGTCACACAGCTAGTAAGTGTGTGAGGTCATATTTGAACTCAAGTCCTCCTAACTCCAGGGCTGGTACTCTATCCACTATGCCACCCAGATACCCCCCTTTTGATCTTTTTAACATATCTCATGTATATCTCCTTTTCTCCACTAATATAGCCACCATCTTGGTTCAGGCCTTCAGCACCTTACACCTGTACTATTACAATAGCCTTCTACTTGATATCACTGTCTCAAGTCTCTCCCCTTTTTAACTAAGTTGCCAAAGTGATTTTCCTAAGCTATAAGCATAACCATGTCAACCTCCTACTCAGTAAACTCCAGCGGCTCTCTATTACCTCCGGGATCATCTATGAAGTCCTCTATTTGGCGTATAAAGCTCTTTATAACCTGGCCCCTTCCCCTTTCCAGTATTATTACACTGTGATGCCCTCCCTGAACTATATGATCCAGCTACACTAGCCTTCTTGCTGCTCCTGGCACAGAATAATCCATCTACCCCCTTTTCCTTGGCTGTCCCCTATGCTTGGAACTCCCTCATTCCTTGTCTCTGACTCTTGGCTTCCCTGGCTTCCTTCAAGAGTCAGCTCAATTCTTACCTTCTGTAGGATGCATTTCCTGTTCTCCACTGCTACTGCCTTCCCTCTGAGGTTAACTTCCATTTACACTGTGCATGGCTTGCATGTACATATTTATTTACATATTATCTTCCCTATTAGAATGTGAGTTCCTTTGGGGCAATGGCCTTTTTTTTTATTCCCAATACTTTACACAGTGACTGGTATTTCATCTTAAATAAATACCTATTGATAGACTGTCAGAATTCATTTTCTAAAATCAGATCAAGATTGGGACCTAATGGTGGTGGTGAGGGGGGAGATATCTTCTTTCGCTCCTGTGTTCTTCCAGTGGTTTGTATGCTGTATTACTCATGAACACTATAGAGACAGCTGAGAGGTGAATGTGACTGTATTTCTTTCTTTTTTAATTTATGGACTAAAACAAGCATTCCCATAACATGGTATAATAAAAAAAAAAGATGATTGCACATGAAACTGCAAATATATAGCAAAGTTATCATGTACATTTTTTTCCCTTTTTTTCCCCTCTCCCCACCCCCCAACCTAGAGATGGCTACCATTAGAAACAAATATGTATATATGTAAAATCATTCTATATGTTGGTTCTATTATTTTTTCTTTTTTAACTTTTCTATTACTATTACTGTGTTTCTATTACTTGAAGTCCAGACTCTCAATTGGATATACAAGATGGATTCCGCCTCATTGTGAGAAGTAACCATATCCATGACATTAGGATTTCTTCAAGTAATAAATGATCCATATTGTTATCTTTTTGTCCCCTACACCTAGTTTAGTGCCTAGAACACAGCACTTTTTTTTGGTTTTGTTTTTTAGGCAATTGGGATTAAGTGACTTGCCCAGGGTCACACAGCTAGTAAGTCAAGTGTTTGGTCTGAGACCGGATTTGAACTCAGGTCCTCCTGACTTTCAGGGCCGGTGCTCTATCCACTATGCCACCTAGCTGCCCCGAACATAGCACTTTTTAAATGAAGGTCATCATAAACTTAGAGCTAGAAAGGAATGCAGAGGTCTTCTGATCCAACCTCCTCATTTTATAGGAGAGGAATGAGCTTAGCACAGTGCCTGGCACATAGTAGGTGCTTAATAAATATTGATTGGATTGGATAAGAGCCCAGAAAGGGTTAGTGACTTGCACCAAGTCACAGAGTTAGTATGTGGCAGGGCTGGAGTCTAAACTGGGGGCCTGACTCCAAATCCAGCCTTCTTTCCACTGCTCCATGCTGCCTGCCATCCCATCTTTGTTCATTTTTATCTCATGCATACCAAGGAGAAGTGAATATAATTTATTTAGGAGTCAGGCATTGAGCTGTATCGCTGCTGCCGTCCAAGAGAATGACAGCATAAGAAGTTTAACATTCAGGAAGGAGAAAAAAAAACAAGCAGTATCCTCAAACCCATCTTCATCTCCACCCCTTCCCCTCTTGTCTCCATTTCCATAACCCTTTTTTTCTCAACGCCCTCTTCTCCAGACCAAACAAATAGCACAAAATTTTCCAAGGACATTTAATTTTTATACTTTATTCACTGTACCACAATGGACAACACATTACCACACAAAGGCCTCCGTTGCCTTTAATACTTTTCAAGAATGCAGCCTTGACCCTGGTTGACATTTCTCCTCCAAGAACTGAGAGTGCATGAAAATCAGTCAGCATGATATCTGGCTGCCACGGAGAAAGAACTGAGAGCTATTATAGAGCCCGATGAACCCAGCCCCAGGATGACAAGTTCATCATTGTGGGTCAGCGAATACCAGTCCTTTATATAAAGAAGCCAGGGATGCAATACTTCACATAATGTTGTTTTGTGCTCCGTGATTTACCACAAGCTTCCACTTTCTCTAGAGAGCAATCTTTTAAAGTTGTGCTTATTTAGAAAAAAACCAAACTTTCATACTTCTGACAGCCAGGAAATTGGGTTAACCAAGACAGTTGGGTTGGCCCTCTAGGATAAATATTACAAATTCACATTTCCTCAACTTATTATTTGTACATTAAAGCATCCATTTTATTTTTCTGTCTCTCAATGTTGTACAAATGGTCAAGTGGTAATACAATGTCCTGATCTCTGCAAAGCGCCTAGTTTTGGACTTATATCATTCTGATGGTTTTATTTCAGGTTCAAAAGTTTATCATGAACTTGGCATCAACGTTCCTTTTTTATCCCCCCTCTCCCAGGCCCATTAGTCTAATTCCAAAGGATCATTTCTCCTCCAAGAATTCAGGTCAGGATATCAAAGAGTAGAAAGGTAGTCAGCAGCTAGGGCCACTCAACAGAAATGTCCCTTTTAGACAAAGCCTTCTCTTGTGGGAGTTTCAGGTTTTGTTCCTCCCACCACCGCACTCTCACAGGTGTCAAAACTCAGTATCTTAATGACCACCTGAGAAAATCTCAGCCCCAAGCTAGAGGATTTCTTCTCCATAAAACCATCCCTACATTAACAGGAATTCCATATAGTCCATGATCCAATGTACAGAGCTCTTGAGGAACGGCAGGCTGATGATCCCGAGGAATGGATCAATAAATCTAACCCCCTTGCTACCCACCCTCATATTAGGTTTAGGCTACACTACCTTTAAAGCTGGAAGTGAGGAGATAGCTTGTCCATTTCTCCCCAAACACACACACACACACACACACACACACACACACACACACACACACACACACACCCCTCCAACACCAGGGCTACCAGGAGGGGAGTGGCTGACTTTTATCCAGGCTTTCCCAAACATAGGAACTTCATTCAATTGTGCTGACTGGTCCTAATCCAGCAGGAAGTACTTGTGCTCTAAGTAGGAGCACATTTGCCCTTGATCCCAAAGGCTTCACATCCCTGGGACTCAATGGACTTCAGGCAAGCAAAATATCATTCAGAGGACACAGGAAAACAAAAAGAACCTAGGATGGCACTTGGCATTTCGGCTGGGTGGCCCATGAGGTCAGAAGTGCTCTTTGCCCTTTAACCAAGTTTAGAGCTAATAAAGTTTATACAAAGACCTTGTTAAAAAACTAGTCAATTCAGAATTCATAGAAATATAGGACTTTGTTGTGGAGGGGGTGGAAATCTTTAAATATTAAAAATACAGCACATGTACATACATACAATTTCATCGAGGACATGGTAAATGCACACAAACTTTTTATGAAGTTTAAGCTCCTGATTTTATACCAGCACATATCATGAGCTTCACATCTGAGCATCCAGTTTAGTCACACTTTCTATACACTAGCTATCTGGCCTAAAAGCTGCAGCTTCATAAATATTTACTTAAATTATGTCTCACTTTATCTGTGTGAATGGCCCCCTTCTCAAAGGCTCCTCCCGTAATGGTCCAAGTCAAGTATTCACTGCAGACTAAATGGTCAAGGAAAACTCCAGTGAGTGCTTGAGGGGGGCAATGTGGTTACAGAGCAGTTCTCCTACATTGTAATGGTCAGCAAAAAGAAAAAAGATATACACAAAGGAAAACCATTTCTCATGGTACTATAGCTTAACTGCTTTCATGCCTTTCCCTGTCAGAACACATACTTAAAAAAATCAAAGTGTAGGCAATTTATGAAGACAACCGAGGCCGTGATGGACTGTAACTTGATTCAGTGGACTGATTTTTAAAAGGGCCTCCAGAGGATCTATTTGTAGGTAGAAAAGTTTCCTTTGTCACACTCAGGATTGAAGTCATACTGGGCAATATCTTCATAAATAAATACCAGTTGTGCTTATGTGTACAAATATGAGGCTGAGAGAGAGAGACATACAGAGAGAGAGAGAGAGAGAGAGAGAGAGAGAGAGAGAGAGAGAGAGAGAGAGAGGTTTGGCTCTATCTTCCTACTAGACAGCTTATCAGTAGTTTTCTCCAAGAAAGAACAATAATTTTGTACATTCACCAATAAGATTCAATGAAAAATACAGCACATTTTTTAAAAGTCTACATATCAGGGAGCCTATGAAGAAACCATCAAACTAATTTCCCCCCTCCCTCCAAAAAAATACTCCAACAACAAATTCCAAAATTCACACATACTCTCAAACAAACTCAGCCATTTGATAGTTTTTTAAAAGCTAATCTAAAATTGCATAGATCCTTGTTTCGTGTCTCTATTTAAAAAAAAAAAGCTTTCAATGCATTCAAGTGGATCCTTAGATGTCTTCCAAGACCACCTGTTTCAAAAAAAGTATACTGAAATAGAAACCACAGTTGAGGAACCAAAGGAGCTTAGGAAAGGGTACACGATCAGAGGCTTTGGCAGTGACAGAACATAAGGAAGACCAAGGTAGGGTCTGACATTCCTTGTGCTGACCTGGCTGAGTCTTCAGCTCCCAAGATCAAATAGGAGTCCTTCTAAGACACCCTGAATGGCAACTATGAAGTCATGTATGGTGATGGTGGTGGTAGTGGTGGATTCAGACAGGCCCTCCTGACTTCCCATGAAGTCCAGGCCATTGTTTCCTTCCTGTTTCTGCTGTTTAGTTTCTTCTTCCTGCTACCACCTTTTCTTATGAGGAGGCAGAGTTAGAACAGAGGAACTTCATGCTCTTCTCCTATGTCCAGGGCTGGCCTCATTCTTCCCTTCTTTCTCCCATCGTGCTTACCTGTGACTAGAACAAGTTTACTTTCCTTCACTGAGGAAATCAAAACTTAACCCATCAGTTTGTCTCAATAATAAGAAGTTTTTCAGTTACTCTCAAACATGAGAGTCCAACATGTGCTTTTTAGAGGGTAAAAATGGATTGGAGCACTTCAGAATGGTCTATCAGTTCTGTTAAGAAGAATAAATAAGTGCTTAGTTAGCCCTTCTGGGAAAAACTCACACTATTGGGTACAGATGTAAGTGATGAAATTAAATGGGGATTTCAGCAATACATTGGGACGTGGGGCTGATACGGAGAGACACAGCGCAATGTTTAAACACTGTTCTGGGTTTGTAGGACAGAGCCACGCTCCTGGAGGTCAGTGGTATTTTCAGAAGCACTTGAACTGCTGGGAGGAGATGCTACTGGGGAGTCTGAGGAGCCTCTTGGTGGCTTATACAGCAAATAGGCTGAGCCAAAGAAAACAATCCCAAACACCTATGGAAAAAAAAAGAGTTGGTTTTAGTTTGTTTTGGGTTTTTTTGCTGATATATCAAAAAATTAAAAGCCTAATAGAGTTTCCCAAAAGAGATAGGATACTAGAAGGGCAAGGTCAGAATTTACAACTACAACTTTCATTTTCTCTTAAAGGTAATAATCCCTTTTTCAAATATCCTAGATTTAAATTTCAGCAGGCATAAGCTCCCTGACCCCTGTCAGAATGCCCAAGCAACCTCTTAGTATGGTGTTCTACTGTAGGTCATTCTGGGAGCTGAGAGAAAACAGCATGGGGGTAGCCCCATGCTGGGAAATTTATATCTCTGGTGTTGAATACATGATTGGTGGTGATGATGACAATCTGCCAATCATTTACTTCTCAATATTCAAGGGACTCTGTAAGACTATAAGCTGTATAGTGGGTGCCAACCCGCATTAGTAGAGCTAGTTTTCTCATCTGTGAGTTCCCTACACCAATTAAAGCACATGTCTATCTCTCTTCCACATCTGAATGAATTCAATATTTGTTGAGTGATCAGTGAGTTCAAATTTAAATATGAATAAATTCATTCAACAAATGTTTAAGTTACATGTGAAGGACTATTATCAGTTGTGAAAAGTACAACTGTTAGTTCAAAAGCAAAGTAGAGTTCCGAGCTTAGACTTAGGAAGACCAAGGTTCAAATCTGGTCTCAGACACATACTAGCTGTGTGACTATCAAGTCTCTTAATATCTCTTTGCTTTGGTTTCTGTATCTGTAAAATGGGGATAGTAAGAACACCAACCTCCCAGAGTTATTGCGAGGATCAAATAAAATAATATTTGTAAAGTCCTTAGCATTGTGTCTGGTACATAGTAGGCTTAATGTAAATGTTAGCTATAATTATTTAGAAGCACTGTCAGTGGGTATATTTCAACTTACTAATGACCATTAACAACTATGTGAATTGAAGGTTTCTTAAAAAAAAAACCTCCAGTACATACTTGAATATTTGCTTAGACTTTGAATAATTTGGAATTATTGCATTTACTTTAGCTAGAGAGGGCAATAAGAGGCAGTGTGGCATAGTAGATAGTGCTGGCCTCAAAGCCAGGAAGATCCACCCATATGGGCTGTATGGGTAAACATAGTTCCCTATGGCAATGAAATTGCATGTCCAGTGCCTGTCCTATAGAGGGCTAAATAGTCTCTTTTTAAACATTAAGCCAACATGTTATGTTCTTATGTCCTTCATCTTGACTTCTTTTGACCATTTGTAATAGTGTTGGAAGGCTTCATTTAATGTAGAAGTCATTGTTCTTCACAGACAATATGGCATGATGCATAGCTACCCTTTCCACTGATAACTGAAAAGAGTGTTGGCGGCTAGTTCTTGCCACATTGTACAAGACCGCAATTTTATATTTAAAGACTCACCTCTATTTAACACTCCCAGGTTAGGCTAGATTAGGTGTTCTTAACCTTGAGTCTGTGAACTTATTTTTAAAGATATTTTGATTGCTCTATTTCAGCATAATTGATTTTCTTTGTAAGTCCAAGGGGTGTAATGGAGCCAGCTCACACCAGCCCCAGGAGCCAATTGTGAAATTTTCAGCATGAGCATTTACACTTCAGAAATGAGCAAATGCTACAAATCAGGGCTTGATTTATTGTTTTCTTAAGTGTCTAGACTTAATGAAGGAATGGAAAAAATGTTAATATGCCGATTAAATTTAAAAGTATGTGGTGGGTAATTTTTTTCTTCTAGATCGCTAGTTGTTAAACATTTGCCAGCACAGCTCTATTTGTAACCCTATGTATTTTATTTTACACATTCAAAAATGTTATCCTGAGAAGAGGTCCATGGGCTTTGCCGTGGACTGCAAAAAGGGTCTATGACATGCACAAAAGGCTAAGATATTCTCTGAGGTTCCTTCCAGTTTTCAATATGATCCTAAAATATTGTAATGTACATTTAATTTTATGTTAAATAGGCTCAGTAATAAAAGGAAACCAAATGACATCATTGGCCACACCTGAAAATTAAACATTTTCTTATTTGTAGATGAGGATATTATTACCTAAAGTAAGGACCCCTATCCTAGGTAGATTCTGTGTCGATAGACTTCATGACAAACCTTTCCAAAGACAAGAACGAAATCCAAGGATTTGATATTTTAAATTCTAGTTGAGCTGCTTCCTTCTTTCCCAATGTGAAAAATATGAGTTGTAATTATCATGGAACCATAGACTTAGAGCTGGACATTAATCAAGTCAACCTTTCTCAAATGAGGAAGCTGGATGTGAGAGAGATCAATGGTTTTCCCATTGTCACACAACTATTAAGCATCTGGGGGAGGATATGAAATCAGGTCCTCTTGACTCCAAGCTCAGTATTCTATTCACTATGCACCCTAGCTATCTCAATGACATTCTGAGTAAGCAGGCCTTGTAGTTCCCTTCTAATCCTGCCATATGGGGTCACAGAGCTAGAAGGGACCTCAGAGGCCATGGCACTCAACTCTCTAATTCTACAGACGAGAAAACTAAGAGCCTGGGATGTTAAACGATACACACACACACACACACACACACACACACACACACACATACATATACATATATACACACATACATATATATATGCCTAAGGTAACATAAGTGTCAGGGGTAGGTTTTTGACTTCAAAGTCAGTATTTTTTTCCATTCCTCTTTGAGTTGTACATACATACATATACATATATACATACATGCATACATATATATATATACACATATATACATACATGCATACATATATATATATATACACATATATATATGTGTGTATATATATATATATATATATGCCTAAGGTAACATAAGTGTCAGGGGTAGGTTTTTGACTTCAAAGTCAGTATTTTTTTCCATTCTTTTTTGAGTTGTACCAATTATTGAGTAAGTCAACATAGAATTTTTTTTTTTTGGCTAGGCAATGGAGTTAAGTGACTTGCCCAGAGTCACACAGCTAGTAAGTGTTATGTGTCTGAGGCCGGATTTGAACTCAGGTCCTTCTGAATTCAGGGCCAGTGCTCTATCCACTGCACCACCTAGCTGCCCCAAACATAGAATTTTCTAAGGAATTAGAATCTACATTTTTCTAATGCTGTAATTAAAGAGGGACACGATGAAGAAGACTGCCTTCAGAATTTAAGAATTAAGGATACCTGGAGGAAATAGATACCATCAAGGAAAAGAATGACACCAACACCAGCACATCAATCAAAATGTTAATATGTAGAATGAAATACGCAACTTAGTCCTTTGGTGAGGAAGAACTACTTCTCATTTTCTTGATGCCTCAAGTTCACTGAAGGAAAATGACTGTGAATCTTGACAGCTAAAGCCCCTAGGCAGACTGAAAGGGAGTATTACTATTGTCTAAGTTCTTTTTCCCTGGGAAGATGGTAGTAAGATAGAGAAGAGGGCATGGCAGCACCAACCAGAGCACAGAATCTACTGGTTGAAGACCCTAGTTCAAGTTTAAGAATATAGATGATTTTTTGCTGATTTTTGGCAAGCCCTACTATGAGTAAAGTACAAAAAATATTTTTCATACTCAAACAGACTCTTGAAATGTTGCCTGCAGAGCTCCTAATTACTACTGACATGACACAAACTCAAGAAATAAGATATGGTCCTAACTCACCTTGTAAACAATTCCGGCAATGAGGGTGTAGTGGCTCATGGCAGAGTTCTGATAAATGTAGCAGGATCCCTGATCTCCGCATTGGTCCTGCCAGAGTAAGCAAGCTTTATCAATCACCCAGCCAAAGGCGATTGGGCCTGGAATTCCACCTGTAGGTAAAGAAATAGAACGTTAGGGCAGCTAGGTGGCACAGTGGATAGAGCACTGGTCCTGGATTCAGGAGGACCCGAGTTCAAATCCAGCCTCAGGCACTTGACACTTACTAGCTGTGTGACCCTGGGTAAGTCACCTAACTCCACTGCTTAGCCAAAAATAAATAAATAAATAGAATTTTGTGTGAACAGAGCTCCTATAAGTTGTGTCTTCATGTTAGTCCTATGGTCAGTCAACAAGTATTTAGTAAGCACTTTCTATGATCCAGGCACTGTTCTAAGTAGTAGAAACACAAAGGAAGGCTAAGGAAAAAGGCCCTTCCCTCAGGAGCTCCCATTCTAATGGAGAGACAACAAGTAATTCACTAGGTATATACAAGATACACGGAGTAGGTAAGAGATAATCAGGGCAATGCACTAACAGCTAGAGGACAGAGAAAGGCTTCTTGCTGAAGGTGAGATATGAGCTGGATCTTGAAGGACACCAGGGAAGCTAAGAGGGGGAGGTAAAGAGTGAGAGAAATCTAGATGTAAGGGACAGACAGAGCAGAAGCACGGGCGGAGGGGGGGGCGGATTGCTCTGTGCCAGACATTTCAAGTAGGCCAGCGTAGTTTCATTATAGAGTGTGAAAAGTCTAATGAGGCAGAAAAAGGAGGAAGGGGCTGGGGTAGAAAAGGTTTTAAATACCAAAGAGAGATTTTTCAAAAAATTGATTTTGGAGGTAATAAAGAGTTCATTAAGTAGAAGGCTGACATGGTCAGATCTGTGCATTATAGGAAAACCAGTTTGGAAACTGAGTGGAGGATTATTGGAGTGGGCAGAGTCTTGAGGTTGGAAGGTAGTTGTTACAATAGTTCAGGCAAGAGGTGATGAAAGCCTGCACCAGGGTCATGGCTGTGTGAATGCAGAGAAGGAGACATATATGAGGGATGCTACAAAGGTAGAAATGACAAGATTTGGCAATGGATTGGCTATGTGGGATGAGAGAGAGGAGTAAGGACAAAACCAAGGTTGCTAGCTTTGGGTGATTGGAAGGATGGTAGTGCCCTTGACAGTAATAGGGAAATCTGGAAGAGGGGAAGATTTTGAGGGAAAGATGTTTTGGTGTATGAACCAATGTCTTCATGACATCGCTCATTAAAATCCATGTGATGGGTTTTTGGAGAAAGTTAAATTCATCCCTTAAGAGTTAGTCAAATAACCTTCTTGAATTGCACATAAAGGCCTTTTGACTACCCCTGATGTTATGAGCAGAAGAAAACACATGGGGGCTCCAAGATAGCATCTCCTTTTATATACTATACTGTACCTAGAGTGCGTACTACAATCCATTGAATTCCTAGTGCAAAGGATCTCTGCCGGTCAGAGACACACCTATAATAGAAAGTGTCAGAGTTAAAAGGGTATACAAAAATGGTATTCTTTAAATACTACAGTGCCAATTACACCATGCCTATTTCAGAACACACCTCAGGAGTGGCAGGTACAATAACATGTCTTTTGGGGGTTCAGAGTTTTATTTCATGAGTATGGTAGGAAGAGCATTCTTAGGGCCATTTAACTCATTCAGTGGTAGTATGGCCCAATGATGAGGACACTGGACTTTGAATCAGTAGGCCTGGGTTTGAATCATGGTTCTGCTATTTAACTGTGTCTAGGTCATTTCCTTTCTTGGGGATTCGAATTTCTCATCTGTAAAATGAGGGGCTTGGATTGGGTAATCTCTGAAGTCCCTTCCATCCTTAAATCTATGATGCTATAATCACCCAACATAATACAAATTTGGTCCCATTAGAGAAAATTATTCAAGAAATCACGGGCATAATCTCAGCCACTGGTTTGCTGGGCTCATGACGTTCCAGAGCTTACCTTGCTGAAAGCAAGGCTTTAGTACAGATCAAAAACCCCACCCTGTTTCTTACCGTAAAGTTGCAGTTAAAGCAGGAATGCTGCTTAGGAATGTAAATAAAATTACAACGAATACGAAAACCAGAAGAAGGGACTTTCTCTGACAAGATGAAGTGCATTTCCCTGCTGTAGCATGACCCAAACGAGAAGGGAAATGCTGAGGAATACAGCTACAGTCACGGTAAACCTGGGAAGCCCAACAACATCAGACCAATTATCAATTACCCAATGGAAGGAATGGATCACGTCAAAGTTTCTCATAGAAGTAAGCCACTGGAGACAGTGTCACCTACCTTCTTGTCCCCTTCTGGAAGTACGGACACTGTGGAGCACCCAGCATGGCAGGGAGAGTAGTACATCACATTGTCTGTACCACACACCGGACTGTAGATCTCCCTCAGACACCCACATTTCTCATTGCAGGAAGCCAACAGCTGTAGACTGCCTTCTGGCAACACACTAGAGGAAACAGGAGATCCAATTCAGCAAACATTTATTAAGTAACTATTATGTGACAGGCACATAAAAGTGATATATTCCCTATTCTCAAGGAATTTATAGCCAGCTGGGAGTAGGGAGGAGTATATGACATGCAGAGTCATAACTAAGACATCTGGCACCTGGACCAGATTTGGTTGGGGGCCAGGAGAGGCCTAGACTTCAAAGCAGCTGCTGGAGAGAGTAGCATCACTGCCATTCCCACAGACCCCAAGAATCTCACATGGCACAGGTCTCCAGGCCTGGCATCACAATGCAAGCAGTCTACCTGGGGTGGATACAGCTGTGCTAACATGCAGGTACTGGGGGGAAGGCAAGGCAGACAGACAAGCCCTGGGAGAGGTATATAAGAGCAAAGGTATCATTGAGGGTCTAAGAAAAGAAGCAGGAGATGATCACACTGGGTAATGCAAAGCTACAGAAGAAATGCAAAGCATGGAAGCCGACTGTATGCTGCCTGACTGTTAGCATCCTGGGATGAAGCACTGGTTGTCATGTGCTAATTACAGCTTTGACCTCATTTGCACAGAGAAATACCACATTATAACGTTAGGTAGAGTGTGATGGGGGCAAAAGAGAGATTCAGCCAAAATGCATTTAGAAAATACAAGGTAGGAAAGAATACTTTCACGTAGTTGGGAGAAATAAGGGAAGGCTTCAGAGGAAGGTGGCACCTGAGCTGAGCCTTGAAAAAAGGAAGCAGTTCTTCCAAGGAGGTTGAGGGACGGATGCAAGCCAAGAATGTGGGATGGCCTGGACAAGGCAAGAGCCAGGAGATAGCATAGCAAGTTCAAAGAATAGCTAGTAGTTAGTTCGGTTGGGACATAGAGAGTATAATGGAGACAGACACTGTAAAATAAGCCTGGTAAAGTAGATTGGAACCAAATCATGGGGACGTGCGGTGGGGGGGGGGTTAAATACATGACTAAGGAATTTTAAAAGCCACTGAGAAGATTGGTGGGAAACAGGAAAAAAAAAACTAAAATTTTCTTTCAAAAGACAAATATGCTTTAAATTCTCCCATGTGAAAAAAATGTGATCAATTAATCTGTTGTTTCTCCTGTAGCATCCTATCACCTATAATTTTAGAGGAATGGAGACATTCTCTCTAATTTTTTAGGTCTGAGAAATAATTATAGAATCATAAGATTTGGAGGTTGGAGAGATCTTAGAGTTCATCTACTCTGAGCCAGTTCCTCACAAACTGAGGTTCCCCAAGAATAATAGACAAAATACACATTTATAAAACACTAAAGTCTGCAAAGCATTTAATATAAATTACCTCATTTGAGCCTCACAATATCTCCGGTGAAGTAGGTATTGCCTGAATTACTATCCCCATTTTAGAGATGAGGAAATCGAGGTTCCCAGAATTTAAATGGCTTGCCCATTGTCACGGTGTCAGAGGTGGGCATTTAATTTGGATCTTCCTTCTCCCAGGTCTAGAACTCCAGCCATTAGACCACTTGCCTCTCTACCCAAGAAGGGAAGCAACTTACTGAGGTTCACAAAAATAGTAAGTGGCAGAAGTAGGCATCAGTCTTGGGCCTCTGTCTCTAAATTCAGTCATCTATCCACTATAATTGTCTGTTTTCTCAACCAACAGTTTGTTAAAAGTACCTTTACCACCTGGTAATCCATCTTCCATTTTATGGGAACATTCAAGATCTATTAAAGGCTAGACATCCTAACTCTACCTGAAGTCCCATCTCTGTTCCACATTCAGATCTCTCCTGAAATGCTCCACCCCAGTAAACACTTTTGTTTCTCATGTTATGTTTCTTCTAATCACTGTGTGCCATTCCAACCAAAACATAAGCTCTGGGCTCTTACCTCCCATTATACTTAAGTGTCACACCAGCCATAGGCATGTTTGGACAGTGCATGAAAAATATGCAGATTGCTAACAGGCTTATCAATGTGCAAAAAAGGCAGAACTTAATAATTCCTGAGCAGCGGAGCTTAAATTTGTTCACGAAGAATCCACCAAGGAATGTACCTCCTCCCCCTGCTGGTACCACCAGGTAACCTACAAGAAAGAGAATTACATTGATACACCTATAAAGGACAAGAAGGAGACTGCTGAAGGTGGCTTTGAGTCCACTCTTCATCACTAGATTAGGTAAGCTTCAGGGACAAATGAGATAATGCATGTAAAGGGCTCTGAAAAACTTGAAGAAAGTGATTTGTAAATCAATTCTTCAAGCACTAATTAAGTGCCTACTCTGAGTCAGATACTGTGCTATGCAGTGGGGACATAAAGACAAAAGTTAAAGAGAATTTCTGCCCTCCGGATTTCAGAAAAACCTGGAAAGGCTTACATGAGCTGATGCAAAGTGAAGTGAGCAGAACCAGGAGAACATTGTACACAGTATCAGCAACATTGTGCAATGAAGAACTATGAATGACTTAGCTCTTCTCCTCAATACAATGATCCAAGACAATTCCAAAAGATTCATGATGGAAAATGCTATCCACATCCAGAGAAAGTCTAATGGAGTCTGAATGAAGATCAAACATGCTACTTCACTTTATTTTTTTCTTGGTGATTTTCTTTTGGCCCATATCTTCTTTTACAACACGATTAATATGGAAACGTTTGACATTATAGCACAGACATAACCTATATCAAATTGCTTAATATCTTAGGGAGGGAAGGAGAAAACTTGGAACTCAACATTTTAAAAAATTGTTAAAAATTCTTTACATGTAATTGGAGAAAAAAATAAAATACTATAAAAAAGGGATTCCTGCTCTCAAGAAGCTTTTGTTCTAATTCAGGTGGCAAAATATGAATAATTATTATTATAATTCAAGGACTAGGACACTGCTGGAGCTGAGGACACCTTTCTGCACCAGAGGACAGTTAGAAAATATTACTCAGACGAAGTGAGGTACTTAGTCTATTTCATTCGGAGGGTATTATTTATGAAGGAGCAAAGGCTCATAGATTTAGAACCGGAAGTGACTTCAGAAACAGAAATGTAAGTTCCTAACACCACTACATAGCATAGTGCCTAGCACAAAGCAAGCACTTAAAAAGTGCTTCTTGATTGCTCGAGCAAAATGCAGGATTCCAGAAGAAATAAGGCTTTATTTGAATGGCTAATCTGCATTTGGTCCAAGAAACGTGGTTGCAGAACACAAGAAAAATATGAGTACTGGGCAAAGGACCCTAAATTTCTGTCTCTTGAAATCTAACCTATTATTTGAGACTGTGGGATAAGATCTCCTATATACTAAGGTCCCACATCAGAGCTGAAAACAACTCAAGCTTCACAGGTGTGTGCGTGTATGTGCCCGTGAGCCTGCCTGTTTCTGTGTGTGTGTGTGTGTGTGTGTGTGTGTGTGTGTGTTGGAGGGGGAACAGGGAAGCATGATGCCATGTAGGAGGTGGACTTCTAGCCACCTAAAATAATCACATTCACAGTTTAATATGGATGCAAATAATAATAATAATAATAATAATAACAACAACAACAATAATGATAATACTTAGCATTTATATGTCACTTTAAGGTTTGTAAAGTGCTTTATGTAACTCATTTGGTCCTCAAAATAATTCTGTGAGGTAGGTACTATTATTGTCCCAATTTGACAGATAAGGAAAACTGAAGCTGAGACTTGCCCGAGAATACAGAATGAAGGGTCTGAGAAAGGATTTGAACACAAATCTTTCCAACACTAAGTTTAGAATTATACCAATTTTTCCAACTAACTGCCAATCAGCAAGTAAACATCCTAGGCAGGATTTGAACATAGGTCTTTCTAACACCAAGTCCAGTATTCTACCAGTCATGTCCACTAGCTGCCAATTCACTATGGGCCCTGGAGATGAAAGAAAGAAACTCTATGTTTGGTAGAGAAGGAAGTTTCACAATGCTTTGGAGGAAGGATGGCTGCTGCCAGCCAATATATACTAAGTGGTGCAGTATTTTGAAAATTACAGCTTGCCTGCTACCTTGTGCCTAATCTGACCACATTGACACACATTTAAGCATTTAAAAATTGAAACAATCGAAGTTGTAGTATTTAACTTTGAGAACCTGATTGCTTGGGAGAATCACTTTGCTATAAAGATTGGTCCCCTCTCCCATTTTAAGGATGCTTAATGCCAAAAAGGAAAGGAAAAATTTCTATGTCACCACAGCAACACGGGCAGCTAGATGGTGCAGTTAATAGAGTGCTGGATCTGGAGTCAGGAAGACTCCTCTTCCTGAGTTCTAATCTGGCCTCAGATACTTTTTAGCTGTGTGACCATGGGCAAGTCACTTAACCCTGTTTGCCTCCATTTCCTTATCTGTAAAATGAGCTGGAGAAGTAAATGGCAAACCACTCCAGTATCTCTGTTAAAAAAAAAACCCAAATGGGGTCATGAAGAGTTGGACACAACTGAAAAACGATTAAACAAAACAATAACACAGTAACAAGAAAACTTAGGTATTGTCCTCCCAAATTGGGGCTAGGATACCTCACATCTGGCAAGAGGAAAGGAGTCGAAGGACTGGCCAAAGGTCAGCATTTGTGTACTAGGGAGATTGGTTGACTGTGACTTCGAAACTCAAATCTCCCCAAAGTCTATGAATTCCTATTGGTTAGTGATTACACTCTCATTGACACTGAGGCAATCACAGGAGTCACAGTGCACTATGAAAAGAGCTTCTTCAACACTTCTGAAGGTTCATTAGATATCTGACTGAATTATTCAAAGGCTCTCTCTGCAGAGAGATCCCAAGAAAAACTCACACATTCTGTTTCTTACCGAATAAGGTAGCAGCTTCAGAAGCACTTAAACTGAACTGTGATTCGAGGAACTTGGGTCCAAAAGTTGACATGCCAGCAATGAGGGTGGCCTCCGTTGCCCCAGCTAAGCAGAGCAGGATGAATGTAGGGTTTCGAAGCAGCAGCCAGAGTGAGCTGGAGAACAGGAGGTCAGAAGACCGGAAATGAAAAATGCAAATCAGAATCAAATTGCAAGTCCTGAGTTGTTGTTTTTTCCCCCCAAAAGTATTATTTGGATGAACTCATAAGTGACTAAAAACTACTTAGTAAAGTGATTATATCGTCTGAATCTAGGCAGCATTTATTAGGTGCTAGCATGTTCTAGATATCACTATACTAGGCACTGTTGATAACAAGACAAAATCCATAGTCCCAAGCCTCAAGGAGTTTAATTTACTGAAATAGCATGTTATGGATAATGAAATACAAAATAAATACAAATTAAATACAGAATGATTTTGTAACCTGAGGCTTTTGAAGGAAGGTGGGATTCTAAGAGGCAGAGGTTAGGAGAGGATAGCATTCCAGGCATGAAGAAGAGCTGGGGCAAAGACAGAAATGGGAGACAGAATGTCATACACAGGGCAGCAACGCACATGTTAATTTGACCAGAATAGGTAGTACTCGTGGGGGAATAATTTATAATCAATCTGGAAATCCAACTCAGAGTCTGACAATGAAAGGCTCTAAATGGCTAAGAGCGGAATCCATATTTTATCCTAGGGGCATTAGGGAACAATTGAGATTTCTTGAAAGGGAGTGATATGACTGTACCTGAGCTTTACGAATACTAAATTGACAGCTGCATGGAGGATGGACTGGAGAAGATGAGGGGAGAAATCACAAAGTATTAGAGCCAGAAGGAACTTAGATATCTTTCTAATCCATCTCCCCCTGCATTTTTTTTTTTTGGTATGGACAGAGAATTAATTTCCTCCTACCTTTTTTTTTTTAATAGACAGAGACTGAGGTCCAGAAAGAAATTATTTGCCCAAAGTTGCACAGCAAAGAAGTGGTAGATTCCAGGCTCAAATCCAAATCTTTTGATCCCCAAATCAACACTCTTTCCAGTGCCTCAACTAGGTTTTTGACCCCTGAGACGCTCTACTTTAAGGACAGAGAGAAAGGTCCATAAAGCAGCCTTGTTTCCACATTTTCTCCTTGAGATTTGTGATCTACTGCTTCTCACCTGCTAATCCCTTCTCACTTAGAAAGAGATAGAGACTGGGGCAGCTAGGTGGCACAGTGGATAGAGCACTGGTCCTGAAATCAGGAGGACCTGAGTTCAAATCCGGCCTCAGACCAAACACTTGACACTTACTAGCTGTGTGACCCTGGGCAAGTCACTTAACCCCAGCTGCCTAAAAACCAAAAAAAAAAAAAAAAGAGATACAGACACTCTCCTTTGCTTATGATTAGGTAACAGGATCTGGTAAATCTACTCCAGGGAAGTCAAGATACTGGCAGGAACATGACTCTGAGATGGATAAGGCAAGTTCCTCCCAAGGTTTGCTTTTAATTCCTGATTCAGAGATGATGATGTGTCTGGCTCAGTCATGCTGTACCGACCTATTGCAAAGAGTGATTTGTATTGTCCTGGTGTTTCTTTGCCATTTTAAAGAGTGAATCAGAGGGAAAATAATTTATTACTGTCCCACTGAAGACTCGGCAATGGAACTAGGGTTTCCTCTCAAGTCTGTTAATTCCCAGGCCAGTCATTGTAGTTTCTATCGGCAGATTCCACACATACAGACATTAAGAGGGAGCAGAATTAATAACCTTTAGTTTTACAGGCTTGAAAACTGAGGAACTAATTTTTCTTCTGCTGACAGAAGAGAGAACAAAGGAAGAGCCTTACAGGGCACGAAGACAAGGAAATCTGCTGGTGCTGCGGCTTATCTGGGGATACTGAGCAGTGAGTTTAGAACCCTGGGAGTATTTGCAAGGTCTGAAGGCAGAAGACCCTGAAGAAGAGTTTCTGGGTCATAGAAAGAGAAAAAAGGTCACATTCCCAAGGCACTCTGTCACAGAGATGACTAGAAAGGGAGCTTGTGAAAGCTCGCTGACTCGGAAGGAAAGGCAGGCATTTAGCTGGTGGGTCAACAGGGCCCGGCTTCCAACAGAGCCCCCTTTGAGTAACGCCCCAAGACTCATCTTGGATGACACTGGCAGGGGGTACGGTTGTAAAGCTGAAAAATGCATTGAGGAGGATGCTGCTTCCTCATAATGAGGCGGATCAGGGCAGCCCCGGGAAATAGCCTTCCACATAGAGTTCATCTCAGAGCTACACCACAAGTCAACAGGGACAGCTATTCTCCTTCATTCATTTGAAGCAGTGCCCTGTCTAACCCTAGTAAAGGGAACTCTGCTCAACACTTATGCTACAGACTCAGCACGTTTTGTTAGATTTTCAAGGGACTGGTTGCTAGGGTGGAGAGAAATTGAATGGAGTCATGGCATATGCAAATGTGTGTGGTAGGCAAGCCAAGTTTTAATGGGGCTTCACCTTACTGAGGAAATAAATATATATCTTTAAACCGGACTATGATTTCATCCCTCTAGGGAAGTCCTGGGGAAAACCCCCTCTACCAATACAGATCAGTGCCAGGCTTTGAACTTGTAGACTGGCTATCCTTTATGACATGATGCCTCTCAAAGAATTTATATTAATGTTAAATTATAGGAATCTAGAATTTATATTGATGTTAAATTATAGGAAGCTAGAATTTATATTAATGTTAAATTATAGGAAGCTAGGTGGTATAAGGGATAGAGTGTTAGCTTTTCAGTCAGGAAGCCCGGAGTTCAAATCCTATCATAGACATTTACTAACTGTGCCATCCTAGGCAAATTATTTAATCTCTCTCTCAGCCTCAGTTTCCTCATCTGTAAGAGGGGGACAATAATAACACCTACTCCCCAATGGTTGTTGAAAAACAAGATAACTTATGTAAAGTACTTTGCAAACCTTAAAATATTATATCAATGCTAGCTATTATTATTATATTTGTTACTTTTTTGTGGGAGAAGGGGTTTCTCAGGGCCACAACCAGGCACAGTGACCACAGCTTTGTACTGGGGTGCTACAATTTAGATGGTGACAGCTTTTGTACTCCTTCTATAGCTTAGAAACAACTGAGGTTAGGAACAAATAAGCAAGAATAATGAAAAAAGGAAGCTATTACCTGGTCCCCTTCCTCCATGAACACAACCTCCATAGACACTGAGATCATCCCTGGCCGGCCCTTGCTGATGCTTTCCCAGAAACAGTCCTATGATTGCCAGATTCACCATTGCACTACTTCCCCCTCCACTCCCACCCCCAACTGAATTAGTCCAGCTAGTTGTAGCTATGAAAGGGAAAGGTTCCTATAAATTCCAGAAATAGAAGCCATCCTTGACTCCCCACCTCCACCAACCCCACTACAGTGATGGTGATTTCTCCTCCCTTGAATTTCCCATGGCATTTTGATTGGTTCTTTGGATGTATCACAATCTCCTTTTATCATAAGTACTTATCTGATTTTCCTTCTGCCTTCCCTCAAATACTGCTTATTATAATATAACCTCCTTGAGAAGAAGGCCTACTTCATATCATTGGATATATCTCACACTTGGAACGGCACCTTGCTTCATCAATGATAGATGCTGAAGCCACAGCAATCTGACAAAACTTGACACAAAGGTAAAAAACGAAAAGATTTTCAAGTCATAAAGTCTAATTGAGGGATGGTGTAATGCTCACTATAATGACCAGAGTACCTGCCAAGAGTCAGGATGACCTGTGGAAAGCACTGCGTCTGACATAATGTTGGCTGTGTAACACTGGGCAAAAAGTGCTTAACCTTTTGCATCCCAGAGCAACTCTAAGACAAAGAACACTTGCTGTAGTGAGCTTCCTCACTAGGGGGTTCCCTGCACAGATAAAATTACAGCAAAATTAAAGAAGCCCATTCTAGATAAGGCTTTATAACTTCCCTTTTGTATCAGGTGACAGGGTGCTGTTTTCTGTATGCACAAAGACATGTTTATAATGACATCATTCAATGATATAGGCAGTTTCAAAGACTGAGTATATTGGTTGAAGAAAAGAAAGAAACTGGGTAGCCTGAGAAGCTGAGGAGGGCAAACTAAAATGCCATCACAGAAAGTACACTCAGATAAAGCAATTAAAGAATTGATTAGGACTAACCCCAACAAATAACTAAAGCTTGGATTCAAAAAGTAAGCAAAAGCAAAAGTGCCCTTATTAGGAAGCTACATAGGAAAATTGATGTGTTATTCTGTATCCCCACCCCCAAACTCGACTGAAAAAGGTAGGTGGAAATCACCCAGCAATTCTTCAATTACTTAAAATCATAGAATATTAGCACTGGAAGACGCTTTATAAGACAAAGCAGCCCAGCTCCATGATTAGATAGATGAGAAGCTAAAAATAACCATGTGATAAAATAAACTTAAGTTACTAGGTCCACATGAAGGAATGACACTCTCAGGTACCAAAAGGACTGGCAAGAGGTGAACATTTTTCAAAGATTGTGGAGGCTGGGAGAAGTGCCTTGAGCCTTGGAAATAGCAAGTGTGCTTATTTTCTAAGAATGGAAGAGAATAAAGTCTGGTTTTATTTTGTCTTGTGTTTTTAGCTCTGTAATCCCAGTGCCTCCTATAGTGCTTTATACACACTAGGTGCTTGGGGAATTTGTTGCATTTAGGGGGATGAACACCATATTTGAGAATGATTGATTTATGGTTAGAAATAAACCTGAGTCACATTCTTAGGCTTGACCTTGAAAAGTGAGGGAGGGGAGAAGGAGGAGGGAGAGAGAGAAAAGGGAGAGGAAGGAGGAAAGGGAAGAGAGGGGGAAAAGGATAGGGAAGAAAGGAAAAGGGAGGAGAGGAAGAAGAGAGAGAGAAGAGAGAGAGGAAAGAGAAGGAGAGGGAAGAGAGAGGGAGGAAAAAGGGAGAGAGGAAGAAGAAAAGGCAAAGGAAGGAGAGAGAGAGAGGGAAGAAAGGGGGAGGGAAATGAGGGGGGAGAGAATCAAAGCTGAGAGATCCAGTAGAGAAACATGGAGTGTCAGACTCTTTCCTGGAAGGAAGGCTGTGCACATGTGAGGTTCCTCCAGGGAAGTTAAATG